TGCCTTGGCTGGATTTGAACTGGGACCTCAGATCTCAGCCTACTGAGTAACTAGGACTATAGACATGAACCACTGGTGTTGGCTCTCCATCCATTTTCAAACAATATTTGGTAGGTTTCATTAGGCTATCTTCAAATATATAAAATGTATTATAAATAATGTATAATACATAACATACTTCTTTTGAAGTTTTTGTACATTATATATGTACATACTTATAATATATTTAGAAATACTACATAAAATATGTTTATAATAGATATAAATATATTTAACAAAATTATATAATATGTACTTATCTTGTAAAATATATAAATATGAATTCATAATGATATACTATATATGCTTGCATATAATATACATATTATATGTTATGTATATTATAAAATATTATATTACCCAACATAGTAATCCTTACATCCATTTCCATGATTGTCCTTCAATAGATGAACAGAAAAAAAAAAGCTGGCCCATTATGTATATGTATACTCAAACCCAGTGGAGTTTTATCCAGCTCTAAGAACAAATTACATAATTTTTAGAAAAATTATTGAAATAGAGAACACTATGCTATACCAGGATCAATGCTCCACACGTGAACAATACTTACTGTCTTAAAACTATAAGGTAATTGTTCAAAGGAATTACAAAATTAAGACCAGGAAGCTGTCAGGGGTGTGGGGAGGGCGTCAAGAAGAGGGAAGAAGGGCTAGGAATGTGGCTTAGTGGTAGAGTGCTTGCTTAGCATGTATGAAGCCCTGAGTTCAATTACTACCACATAAGCAGAAAAAGCCAGAAGTGGTGCTGTGGCTTAAGTGGTAAAGTGTTAGCCTTGAGCAAAGGAAGCTCAGGGACAGTTCCCAGGCTTTGAGTTCAAGACTTAGGACTGACACAAAAAAGAGGGAGGAAGATGAACCAAGAGTAGTGGATGCATGCAGTTGTAATAGTCAATGTCCATATATGGAAGTAGAACCTGGGGTGGATAGGGCTGGGAGAGATGGGGAATGATGGAAGAGGTGACATTGATCAAGCTGCATTGTACTTGTAAATGTACATGTTAAATCAAAAGTCTTTTGCTTGACTTAGTGATAATAAATTAGGGTATCAGTGGCTTAATCCTACCTGCCCAGAAGACTGAGATCTTGAAAATCAGGTTTCAAAGCCAGACAGGCCTGTAAAATCCCTAAGACATTTCCAATTAACCACCCAAAAAGCCAGAAGTGAAGCAGTGGCTCAAGTGGCAGAGAGCTAGGCTTGAGGAAAAAAACATCAAAAGCTCAGGGTCAGAGTTCTGAGTTCAAGTGTAAGGTGCAGCACATACACAAAGAATAAAGAAAAAAGACCAAAAGCCATTAATAATGTTAACAGTAATGTAACAATGAGGAATTGTAATTTCATAATACCCATGTATATTTAAAGTTACACACACCCATAGGCAATCAGGCTGTACGTTCATATCTACAAGTTAGATTTCCTGATCAGATGCAATCGAGGTAGGAGCTCTGCTGAAAGGTTGGAAGATGAAGGGTTCTGGGTACAAGATGAGCAGAAACCATGGAGAGAATCTTGTCTGTGTGGGTCAGAAGCCATCCTAAATTCCTCTCCTCTGCAGTAGCACTCAGGAAATTGACTCCTGGGATTAAAATAATATGAAAGGCTTTCTGATAATGGGCAGCTTTGGATATTGAGCCCCAAGGGACATAAGAATCTTTGGCAGTGACCAGGGGAAAAAAATCTCAGCCATCAGCACTGCCCAGGTAGCAAATAATAGCTTCATCTTCGAGAGATGTTCCTTCTGTATCTCGGCCCTTGCCTTGCTTGGGGGGATGCCAAGAAATCTGTCTTCATCCAGGTGAGGTTTTTACCCAGGTGAGGCTACCAGCATCCTCACGCAGCTAGCCATGTCCATCTGTGCCCCGGAAGTGGGGAACCAGAGTCAGGGGTTTGCTAAAAGTCTTATCCAATGGATTTTACCTTTGCAAGCCTGATTTTATAACAACTGTGAGTATGGGTATCTTAATTATTTTCTCTAAAGTATTCTCTGCATTTTTAAATTAGAGATTTCTTTAATACACACTTGTCAAATATAGCACATACATAGCATCAGTGTTAGTTTTTTTTGTTTTAAATATAAGTGCATGTAAATTGTTAGATTTTTTCTTTTGTAATAACCTTTTAATTTGTTTTGTGATTCATATATGTCCTTTCCTCATAAAATGAATCTTATTGCAGCATTATTCATAGCTAAGATATAGGACCAATTTGGATGTCCCTCAGTAGATGAACGAATATATGTACATATAAAATGGAATTCTATGCTTCCATCAGAAAGAATGACCCATTTGTTAGGAAATGGAAAGACTTAGAAAAAATTATATTACGTGAAGTAAGCCAGACCCAGAGAAATATAGGTCTGATGGTCTCCCTTATTTGCAGTAACTAGTATACATCTAGGATAATCATCAGATGAGTAGTAAGATGATGCTAAGCAAAGTGAACCCCAAGATATAGACACAAGAGGTTTTTCTTTGTTGTTTTTCAATGTAATGTGATTTTTTTTGTTTCTTTTGTATGCTCTTCCCTCCATGGTATGTCCTCTGTTGTCATTGTATTTAATTTTGGTACTGTGCATCTTTTGTATAAATTATCTGATTTGGGGAGGGTAAGGGGAATAACAAAATGCTGAAACAAGGACACAGGATGACCGATTGCAACAATGGATACTCACAAAAAAAAATCTAAGAAACACAGAGAGAAGGAAATCTGATCATGAAAATTAGGCTTCCTGTGAGCTTGCTGCTTTGCAGTCATCTTCATCTCATACATGTCTGCTATGTTTTCTCTGACAGTCCACCAGATCTCATTTTGCTGGACTTCTCTCCCTACCCCTGCCTCCTCCTCTTCTCTTTCTCTCTTCCCTCTCTCCCAGTTCTTTCTCTCCTCTCCTCTTTTCCCCCTCTCTCCTCGGACTTTATCTCTTTGTCTGTCTCTCCATCCCTTTTTCTCTCACTTTTTTTCTCTCTTCTCTCTCCCCCTTTCTCTCCTGTTTCTCTACCCCTCCCTTTGTCTCTCTCTGTGTCTCTATCTCTTTTCTCTTCTTTCTCTTCCTCCTCCTCTTAGTCTCTTTGCCCCTCTGTTTCCCCGTGTTTTTTCTTGTCTCTGTGTCTGTGTCTCAGAGTTTCTCTCTGTGTCTGTCTCTCCTTTCTCTCCATGACTGAAAAGACTGAAAACAATTTTAATCATTAAAATAAGGCCCATTCTTTTTTTGTCAGTCATGGGGCTTGAACTCTGGGCCTGGGTACTGTTCCTCAGCTCTTTGGCTCAAGGCGAGTGCTCTACCACTCAAGCCACAGCATCACTACCCGTTTGCTAGTGGTTTATTGGAGATAAGTGTCTCATGTACTTTCTTGCCCAGGCTGGCTTTGAACCATAATCCTCAGATCTCAGCCTCCTGAGTAGCTAATATTACAAGCATTAGCCACTGGTACCTGGCAAAAGGCCAATTCTAAAATGTGATGACCCATAAAATATTCTTATACTTACTTAATTTTGGTTAGTGTTGGGGAATTTTGGTCACTGTGTGAAAATCAAGATCTGCTCAGAGTATGATAGAATAGATGGCTTAACAGATATTAATTTCCATAGCTTGGAGATCTCTGAGAAGCTCTGGCTTCTCCTGGGACTTCTCTCTGTAGCTGGCAGATAATCAAGATTCTCTGTGCCTTCTTGCTGTGCATCTGAGTGCTAATTTCCTCTGCTGACATAGTCATTGGTTATAATGGATTATGATTAATTGTAATGACCACATTCCAAGTGAATTAATTTTCCCAATGCAGTCATGTTTGATGGTCATGTGGACTCAGATTTCAGCAAAATATCCATGGAGTAGCTGGGTTCAGCCTGTGATAAATAGCATTTCTATTTGCCTTGCTACCTTCTTGATCTCTCATCACCCAGATTTTGTCCCATTCCTGTAGAGAGGGCAGTGTGAACTTTAAAGATCTAGATAGGGTTGCTCAAAGGCTCACTTAGAAGCTTTATAGCCCCACAATTTTTGCTTTCTAAAGCCACCAAATCTTTGCCATAGGCTCAGCTGTAAGAAGGACATTAACTACTGACAAGATCAAATAACCATCTTTGCAGAATTAAGAAATGATGACTAATGCCTATTTCAAGTCTTTAAAAAACATTTTGGTGTCAATCCTGGGTCATGAATGGAGGCTCAATGCTTTGTGCTCAAGGCTGGTGCACTACCAGTTGAGCCACAGTTCCACTTACTGGCTTTTTGATGGTTAAGTGGAGATAAGAATCTCATGGGGTTTTCTTGACTAGGTTGGCTTCAAATCTCTGGCCTCAGATCTCAACCTCCTGAGTTGCTGGGGCCCAGCTACAAGTCTTTAAATAAAGTATTCATGATGAATACACAGAATCACAATTTGACTAATTCACTACACTCACAGTATTTTTTTCTTGTCTTTTCCAGGGTGTGCCAGGTTGAATGTCATGGTGTCTCTTTGCACAGCTCTCTAAAAGACAATAACCACATCCTCTCTCAGGAGGCAATGGAGAAGTAAATTATGCTGGGGAAAAACAGTTTCATCATCTCAAGTGAGTCTGGGTCATCATTATCAACAGAAAAAAATTAAGATTAAAACAAAGTAAGACACCATTTGTTAATTGCCTACATAGGACTGGGGTTCAAAGCTAGTCAGGCAGGAAAATCTGTGAGACTCTTATTTTCAATTAGCCACCAAAAAGTCAGAAGCGAAGCTGTAGCTCAAATAATGGTAGAGCACCAGACTTGAGCATAAAGAGGCTCAAGAACAGCACTCAGGCTCTTTGTTCAAGCCCCTGGACTGGCGCGCGCACACACACACACACACACACACACACACACACACAAATTGAGTATGATAGATTTTTCTGTTATCACTAACCAAGAAACCAAGCATTTTAATTTTTTTCAATGAATCGTTTTTCCTCTCAAGTTCACAAGCAACATGGAGATTATAAATCAAACAACGGTTTTGGATTTCCTTCTTCTGGGACTGACAGATGATCCCAAACTCCAGTCTTTCATCTTGGTCCTCTTCCTGTCCATCTACCTGGTCACTGTGCTCGGCAATCTGCTCATCATCCTGGCTGTCATCTCCGACTCCCACCTCCACACCCCCATGTACTTCTTCCTCTCCATCCTCTCTTTCAATGACATCTATGTGAGCTCAACCACCATCCCCAACATGCTGGTGAACATCCACACCCAGGACCAGAGCATCACGTATGCAGGCTGCCTGGCTCAGGTCTGCTTTGTCATGATTTTTATACTCTTGGAAAATTTTCTGTTGGCAGTGATGGCCTATGACCGCTATGTGGCCATTTGTCACCCCCTGTGGTACACAGTAATTATGCACCCCCACCTCTGTGTCCTGCTGGTTTGGGGTTCTGTGTTCATTAGCACCGCTGATGCCCTGCTCCACAGTCTCATGGTGTTAAGGCTGCCATTTTGCACACATTTACACATCCCCCACTTCTTCTGTGAGTTCGCTCAAATCACCAAACTCCCCTGTTCAGAAACTTTCATGGATAACATCCTGATCATGGTGTCAGTTTCTGTCTGTGGCGGTGTTCCTCTGTCTGGAATCATTTCCTCTTATATTCACATTGTATCCTCCATCCTGCGCATGTCCTCGTCAAGAGGGAAGCACAAAGCCTTCTCCACCTGTTGTGCTCACCTATGCGTTGTCTCCTTGTTCTATGGAACAGGTATTGGGGTGTACATCAGCTCTGCTGTTACCAACTCCCCTCAGAAGATGGCAGTGGCTTCGGTGATGTATGTTGTGGTCCCTCAAATGCTGAACCCCTTTATCTACAGCCTGAGAAATCAGGACATGAAAGTTGCTGTGAAGAATCTTGCTAGCAGGAGGATTGCTTCTCTGTGGTGATGTGCTGTTTGGTTTGTCCTTAGGTTTCAGAGGCAAGTCAAAAATAACTTAACCTGAATTCTGGTGAACCTAAACGGCTGATTACCTCTGTGACTACATATTTCTAAATAGATGGGAAATGTAATGATTGGGGACCTTTATACA